CCTAATTCCACCTGTTGTATAAAAATCTTTTTATAATTTTAACTTTAAAAGTTCTATGCTCATTATATATGATTATGGTATGACATGTAAGTAGATACATATTTTGTGGATATATTTTTTTTGTTTTTTATTTTATATAAAAAACTAGCGATAAGAAATACATAGTTTCTTTAAAAGTTGTAAAAGTTTTACGAATATTTTTATAGGCTTAAATACTAATTTTAAATCCTTAATAATATCTTTTTATTTTAATAATAATTAACTTTTGACAAACTACCATTTCTATATAGCAATGTTTCTGAATTATCTAGCTTTTCACTAAATATATCTTGTCATTTTTTTTTAATTAATATTAGAATATTTCAGTTTTAAAAAAGTAATTGCCATTTGCATTAAAGTTATATATATCCTTACTTTTACTTATTTGCCTGTGATAAGCACATAAATAAGAATTGTTTCTCGACTTGCTTGGGTGAATAATGATAAAATTTTGTTAAATTTGATTGGTCACCTTATTCATCCCCCAAGCAAGGTCTCTCATTTTGGTTTCACCATTTTCTAAAGCAAGGTGTGTTTTTCTTTATTTTAGTCAACCTCCGGGATACATTTCTCAGGTGCGGGTCAAATTTTATTACCATCCAGAAGACCAACCGGCCTGAGAATGGAACCATCATTCCAATAGGAGAGTTGACTCCGGGACAAGAAAATCCAAAACTACCAACATGGCTTGCTAACAACCAGAGCAGAAAAGACCAGGATAAAACTTAGGATTTGGTGACAAAAATTGTTCTTTCATATACCTAATGTAACACTGTAGCAAGAAGTCGAATAATTTTTATTTAAATTCAATACGATACTTAACATTTATTTTTCTGTTTTCTTTTATATTTTAATAAACATGTGTTAATCTAACTGTGTATTGTTTCTTCTTTTTACTTGTTTGTGTGTGTTGCTCCAGAGTAGGCCATATTCACGTCCTGAGTGAGCTAGCCAGGGAGTGTTTCGTATAACGTCTAATGTAGCAATTTTGTAATGACGTTAAAAATTGGTCCCAACAGGAAACGATTTGTCACTCCAACGTTGTTAGTGATGTTAGTCAGGTTGTAGCAGCAAACTAAGGTTTGCGGTTACAGGTTGACAACAGCAGCTCAACGTTGGGATGTTACAAATTGAGCCTCGAAGGGTTACAAATTGGCACCCAATGAATATTTGTTGGCACGTCATAGATTGACGTCCAATGAATGTTCGTTGGAACGTTACAGCAGACTCAACCAAAAATTTCCTACTAAAGATCAAAGCGATTATTTTTAGTGCTATCAAGAACGTCCGGCTTCAGGATTATTTTGTCCTGCTTCAGGACTATATGATTGAGATATATTTTATCTAAAACTAAACCCAACAATAAACAAGAAAAAAAATTGTAATAATAAAATACCTTGTGAATGCGATTATTTTAATTTAGGTAAAATATAAAGGCCATTAAATATCTTTATGAATTAAATTTAATTAGTTTTATTGAATGAATTTGATAGATCTTAAATATGTAAACACGCATGGGAAAATGGACATAGGGTTCAATAGAATGATGAAGACTGCTATCGTATGGAGACTGAATGCTTTTATGTTGTCTTCTTTAGCACTATGGCCAATTTTGAAATTAAAGTCACCCATGGTGATTAGTATCTAACCCCTTTTTGTAACTTGCATTATTTTATTTATGTTGTGATCAAATTCTTCGATATCCTGCTCTGACTTGCCACTTGTCAGAACGTAGACCTAAACAGTATTTAGGTTTCTATGGAATATTCCTACTTTCAACAATGCTAGTTTATCATTTAAGAAAATAAAGTCTGTGACTGACTATGCAATTTTGTCAAATAGTAATATAGCCATTCGATATTGAAGTTCTGGGTCGGTTGCATAATAGGTGTATTCTTCTTTGGTTTTTTTGTTTTCCTGAACCAGACCATCTTACTTTGCTCATTCCCAAGATATCGAATTTTATTCGCCATATCTTGGCTTAAGTGTTTGCCAGTGTCACGATTATAAATAAGCTGCATAAGTTCCAGCTGGCAAGGTATTGAGTTCACTCAAGACGCGTAGATCCCCCGGACTGGATCAGATACCACCTGAGGCGGTGATGGGTCTAGGACGGGCAGAGTCTGCGTGGCTTCTGGTACAAATGAATGCACTGATGGGAGCACAAACCTGTCCTGAGCCTTGGAGAACATCGAGGATAATACTGCTCCACAAGGCTAGAAAAAAGTAATGCCCCATCTGTCTTCTTTTCCCCCATCAGTAAGCTGTATGAAAGGATGTTGCGAGTCCGCATAGATGACATGAATGATAGGTCAGGTGTTTCATCTCGGAGGCAATTTGGTTTTTGTAAAGGGAAAAGTACGATCGATGCAATTATGAGTGTATTCGAAGCATTTCACAACAGAGGGAACAAACATCTAGCTGGGCGGCCTTGCTGCTGTTTGGTGTTAAAAATACATTCAATATGCTGCAGTGAAACAAGGTAATGAAGGCAATGGAAAAGAGATAATGTCCTAGTTACCTGACAAATGTAGTAGGGAGTCTGTCCGAGAAAAAGATTATGGTGGAAAAGCGCACGATCGTGGACGTGACGACCGGGGTACAGGGATCGGTCTTAGGCCCGACGCTATGAAACCTGGCATATGACGGGGTTATGCACTGTGAATACGGAGAGGATATAACTCCCTTCGCAATCGCGGATAACCTCGCTATACTGGTAGTGGCCCGGGATAAGGCAGATCTCAAATAACGGGCTCGAAAGTCAGGCTTTGTCGTAAAGAAATGGATGATACAGCACGGACTGAAACTTGCGGCAAAAAAAACGAAGATATCATTCTAAAAGGGAAAAGGAACAGGCAACGTATTGAATTACAATGTGCATGTCTAAGAATCAAAAAACAAGTAAAGTATTTAGGAGTGACATTGCATCAGAATGGAAAATAGGGAGATTACGTGCGGGAGGTGGTCCGGAAGGCTGCAAATAGTGTGGCTGCGTCGGAAAGGGTGATTCCCAACATTAGGGGACCCAAATTCAAAAGGAGGAGGGTCTTACACGGTGTTGTACAGTGGATCGTCCTCTACGCGGCACCAGTCTGGAGCGAGGCGGTAGAGATACTGGCCTATAGGAGGCTCGTGATACAAGTAAATAGAACAAGTCTATTGTGAGTGGCATGCCCGTACAGGACTGTATCTGCGGCAGCCTTGTGGACCATCACTGGATGTGTTCCGTTGCATATCATGGCGGTAGAAAGAAAAGAGCTTTATGAGAGAAGAGGCCCAAACCTTACTGTAGCCGAGAGAAGACAAGAAATGAAAATATCAATTGAAAGATGGCAAGAAGAATGGAACAATATGGAGGATGTGGCACAGCGGACGAAAATTCTGATCCCGAACATAAGAGATTGGGTAAACTATGGCCAGAGGCGACTGGATTATTTTCTATCGCAGGTGCTCACAGGACACGGGTGTTTTAGGGCCTACCTCTCTAGGTTTATAAAGGCTGACACACATGAATGCCTATACTGTGGACAGTCGGACACTGTGACACATACGATGTTAGATTGCAGCAAATGGATATCAGAAAGGAACAGAATGGAGAGAGAGATGGGTGTCAATTTTGTTACAGTTAGAGAAAATATTGAGAGAATGATTGAAAATAAATCAGGTTAGATTAGCATACACAACTATATCCGTGCAGTGATCAAGAAAAAGAAGAGGAAGAAAGATAGCTAGACAAACGGCAAAGGTAAGAGTGAAAGATGCTGGAGATTAAAACTAGAAAAGTGAGTCAAACTGTATGAGTTGGAATGCGTGACTCAGACTGTGGGGAAGGAAGAAATGCCGTCTGGAAATAATGCTGTACTAGGAGCGATGAGAGTCTTCTAAGCGCTACCTGGAACGAGACAGAGAGTCGCCTTGCTGATGAATGGAGTGTGGATGTGGATGAATGGAGAATGAATAAATAAAGGTAGCGCTTTGGAAGTGACGCCGGCCTTACAGCGGCCATTCCGCTTCCAGATCGCTGTATGACAGAGGAAAGTCTGGTTTAGCAGGTAGGCGTTTGGCGCAGACTCTGCGACGAGAGGGCATTTTAAAGTACCTCGAGAACTATCGCCGGGAGTTCGAAGAACGAATCCTGTACTAAGGTCAGTCAGGCGGCGAGCTGTACTGAGATGTCTTTTGAAGATTCCAAACCCTTCCTTTATAAATACGAAAAAAAGCTGGCAATAAGCAATAGAAGGGCAAAATACTATTTTTTTATATATTTGTATTTCCTCTTCACTTTCTTAAAAAATGTCAAGGGTAGTTGAAAAGAATTTTTGGCACCCTGTCCCCATTTAACAGGTAACCCATACTGAGGGTGGGCAATTTTCTTGTTTTCATCTACCATTTAGATTTTTATGAAATATAATGAGGATGTTTTCCCATTGCCTTTCCCATCTCATTACCACAGCCATTCAAACTGCTCCAGATATATTTGTTGTAGTCTAGTTTTAATCCGGTCCAGGATCAATATTAATAATCGCTGCTGTCCTTCACCAGGTAGGGATAAGTAATAGGTAACTAGATTTTGAAAGAAAAGAGGGATAGGTCATGGTTTCTCTTAATATGGAATTAAAAGCAAAGTATGTTCGAGTGGGTAGAGTCACTTCACAGTCTCTATTGGCATTGTAGAAAAGTGTCATTATATCATCTACTCCAATTAAACCATAATGGAGCTTTTGTCTGCTATATTTAGTATAAATTGATGACATTCCCATGTTATAGTAAAGAGATCTTTTGAGTACATTAAATTTGCTATGAATAAGTACTCTTTAATATCGATTACCTCAGGAATCAGGTCTAGATGAAAAATTTAAAAGTCAATCGATTGGGAACTTTATACACATATTAAAATTTTCTCATCTTATTAATTAATAATTCATTAACTTTTCCGGCTAAATAAGCTTTTTGTTTTTTAGAGTACAAAGAATACGAACAACAGTTATATAGAATGTTCATGTCTCCAAACTTCAATAATGGGTGGCCGCTTAGAAAACAATCGTGTAACAAAACAGTTTACATTATACATGGATCATAAATTAGAAGCTCAAGCATGCTATATCATTTTTGGATGTGTATTATTTATATGGATTTTATATTGCTTATTTTTAACATTATTTTCTGTTTCACCAAAATATGAAAAAATGGTAAGTAGGTACAAAGTCTAAAATTGCTTCCTATCTTTAAATAAAAAACCAACGTATATGTGATATATCTGTGACATTGTTTATTCATTTGAAATGCCTCTCGACATCGTTCAAACATCTGCTGCGGCTTCGCTGGGGGCACAAATTAGTATGTCAAACTTTTAAATAAATAAATATTTTTCAACAAAAGTTTATGTGTACCTTGTAGTCCAGTCGTCAGAGATTTGACCCATAAAAATCATATGAAGAAGCTGAATTTTGCCGAGAATATTAATCTTGGTACCCCAAAAAGATGTAAAAAGTTCACCACTTTTAGCCCAGAGCTTCCTTTTGAAACTTCCCTCGTGGTGGGGGTAAAAACGCAAAAAATCTACAAAAAAAATCTAAAAGGGTAAAAACCCAGAACCTATATGCCGCAGAAACAAATATTTTAAACAAAAAATGTAGCGGAAATAATTTTTAACAAAAATTACTACTTTTTGTGTAGAATAAACTGTTTTCTTAGAAACAACGCTTGAAGCGACTAGCGATTTTGAGTGTCAGATGTGCGCACCAAATTATAGTATATTTTTATGAACGAGAGAGTAATTAGCATAATTTTAACTGGTACGTCCGACCACTCCATGGGCGTGCTCAAGATTAATTGAAAAATTACTTTGAATAATTGTAAAAAAAAAATGAATTATTTCAGTGTTATGTGTATGTAAACAAAAGTGACCTCTTTTATCACACACTATATTAGAACTGACTGGCCTACATTAAAAAGGGTTTTAAAAAATTCACATTTTTTTAATTTTTAAAAATTACAAAAGAGAAAAAGAGTTTTTAAAACCGTCTAAGGTATGTTAAATAAATGAATAAAAATATTAATATAAAACTTACACTTGTTACAAATCCAAATCAGATTCAGAAGATGAACTTTCAGAACCAAGATTTATAATAACTGGCTCGATCATTTTATCAGTAATATTGTCCAGCTTCCACATTTTTTCCTCTTCTTTAATAGTGTGATTTACTGCCTTTTCCAGTTTTCAGGTTTAACATTATTTACGGCCTCCAAAAACAACTGTTTAACATCATGAATTTTAAAAGTGGTATTTTTTCTTGAAACTTCACTCTTTATCTGTGCCCATACCAGTTCAATCGGGTTTAATTCACAATGATATGGTGGGGATCTAAGTACTGTCATTTCACGATTTTTGGCAATTGCATCAATTTCGTATTTTTAAAATTTTTCTTTATGAAGGGCACACAACGAATAAAGTTCCTTTCTTATAGATCCGGGATGGTACGTAATATTTTTTGAACTCAGCCAATTCTGCAAGTCTTTTTTTAACCACTTGTTTGTGGGCAGTCCTTCTATAAGTCTGGAATGATAACTTGCATTATCCATTACTATTACACAGTTCTTAGGAAGAAGATCTATCATTTGTTCAAACCATTCTTGAAAGACATCAGCGTTCATGTCTTCATGGTAGTCACCGGTACGAGTTGATTCAAAAGTTAATAAACCACCTTCAACAAAACCGTCTGAACTGCCAATGTGTACTATTATCAGCCTGCGTCCCTTTCCTGATGGTGGGTTTAAACCAGTAGATAAGTTATTAACAAAAGCGTGCCTTTGACTTGTAACAGTTTCATCCTGCCAAAATTTATTTGGTGTATGACCCTCGTTGATCCATGTTTCATCAAGATAAAATATTTTTCTTTTTTGGTTTCTAATTTCCTTTATGGTTCTTAGAAAATGTCTTCTCCATATGACAATATCGCTTCTTTCTAATAAAATAGACTTTCTGGGATTATTTTTCCAGCGGAAGCCTATTTCTTTTAAAAGTTTCCCTAACGTACTTCGACTCATTTCTGGGTAATCCTTATCATCTCGAACTGAGACAAAAACTTTATCCAATGTTGGAAATTCTTGTCTAAAGAAGAATTCATGCACTTTCCGTCGAAGTCCTTCTTTAAAATAATATTCTATTTGTAATTTTGGTTTCCCTGGAGCATTACGTGGCATTTGAAAACTACCACATTTCTCTTCTTTAATAACTCTGTAAATCGTAGATTTCCCAACACCAAGTGTACTGCTAACTAACTCAACGGTCTCATCAACACTTTCACATACACGTTTGTCTGTAAATGATTTAAAACAATTAAATATTAATGTTTTTTCATTAACTGTTAAAGGACCAATTTTTCGGCGTTTACACGGCACTTCCAAATTTTCCATAACACTAGTATACACAATAAACTGCACCTTGCAACTGAAGTACCTACTTTTAGTGAACTGTTAAGAATTTTGAATACGCCACGCCACTTGGACCTTCCTACAAAATGGAAAAACCCACTATCACATTTTCTGTGGAATAAGTTTAGAAGGTAATTATCTAGTCAATTACTGTCGTAGATTCATGGAATTAAAGAATTAAATGTTTGATTGTTGAAACCCTTACTTCGTGGAATGCCACTCAATTCAGATAAAATAAAACGTTTTATTTTATCTAAAGAATTAAACTTTATTTTGCAAATAGGCAGGTACTTATTAAACTTTTATTGTTTATATATAACCAATAAAATAAACATCTTACATTTCTTGCAAATTCATTAGTACCTGTTAACCTCCATCACTCCGACACTGGCAACCTTATTTAGGTATTAGTAACCCTCACAACTATTGTATTCTATTCTGCTCCAACCTTTATACCTGGTGGTCATACTCAATTTAAAATTGTTTTCCTATGTACTTCTGTAAACTTGTTGACAAATATCTGTTTTTCATTGAGTCACCCGTATCAACAGTTTAGGGATTTGCATACATAATTTATTGTTTTATTACTCTATCATACATAAAAATACACTATAATGTTAAGTAAAATGTGTATCAAGTCGACGGTAATGAAGTCAGTTTCTATAAATATGTTTAATAAATAAACGTTGCGCAATTTTTGCTATTTTTTACAATTCTCGTGGGATCAATAAAATTTATAATTTTATTTTACCGGTTATAAAGAATTTCCAATTTAGACACTAATCTTCAAAACATATAACGTGAAATTTGAATTTTGAGTTGTGGCAATAAATATGAGGCATTTAAAATATGACTAAAAAACGCAGAATTTAAACTTGTACATTTCAAACGATCGCGCATCACGAGAAATAAAATCATAAGGATGGTTTTGAATGTAATTTATAACAGAAGTTAAGTACTTATGAAAAACGTACTAGTGCAATTGAAAAAGAGCAGTTTTAAACATTTTATATTGTTTGTAATGTGAAAGTTTAAATGCAGCATTTTTTAAGCATATTTCTAATGCCTCACATTTGTTGCCAAAACTCAAAATTAAAAATTTATGCTATTGGTTTTGAAGGTTTACCTCTGGTAATCTAAACTCCATAGTGACCGGTCAATAAAAGAGATAAATTATATTGATCTCATGAGAATCATAAAAAATGTCAAAAATCGCGCTACATTTATTTATTTAACGCCTTTATAAAAATGAAGTTTATTTTCGTAAATATACAAAAATTGCGAACGTAAGCATTTTTACTATGGCTTACAAATTCTTGGTAAATTTATTTATTATTATTTTTTTTTCATTTTAGCCACTCTAAAAGAAGATTTTAAAGGAAAACCTGAGGGTAAAATTGGTAAACTTTTTTGCATATTTTTTGGCGTCCTAAAATTGATATTGTCGGCAAAATTTAGCTTGTTCATCTGATTTTTAAAAGTTTAGTGGTATTTTCGTTTCTGACGACATTTACTATTATTTATGCCTTTTTATGTGTATTGCTCCTACAAGTTTTTGCAGGTTTTCGCAATTGTTTAAACAAATTATCAATCAAATTTAATTTGGAAGGTCTCAAATGAATCGTTTTTTTTTTCATAACCTTTCAAAAAAAAAATTAAAACTTCTAATTACGAAAGAAGTATTGAAAAAAAAATTCAAAATAGTGTTTTCAGTGATTTTTGCTATATCAATGTTTAATCAATGATGTCGTTATTTTAAACTGATAATTTTGACATAAATTCCTATTTTCATACCAAAACTTCCATTTTTTAAAGATTCGTTTTGAAACGATTTACTTTATATTTTATTTTTTGTTAATTGGACAAATATCTTCTTTAAAGTTGCAAATAAATAAAGAGAACATTTAAGGATAATGAGAAATGGTTATTACCAGGACATCGATTAACTTTATTATTAGAATTATACAATGATGAACCGGTGTAATGTATTTTGCCACACACTTACTTTTTTTAATTTGTAGGGAATTAAAAGAATCTATTTATTAAGTGACATACCCAGTTTTTATAAATTTGGGTATATTCTTATAATTAAGACTGCTACTACATTTAATGCTGGTACAACATCAAATATTATTGTAAAATTATATGGAAACTTAGCAGATAGTAAGGTAAGCATTTCGTCAATTTTTTTATATATTTTTTGTAACTTTATTTTTATATTTAACGTTTTATTAGGGGAAACTGATGTCGGTACTAAAAATTTTTACAAATATGAGGACTACAGGGTAAAACGCTGTAAGTCATTTTTTTAAATTTTTGGAAAACGCGATTTTTAGATTCAAAACTTCATAATTCATAAATAAATATGCTAAAACAATGTTTTATTGAGTATTTGACAACTCATATATACAGAGTATGATATTATAAAACTGAAATTGTCATGTACAGTAGGTAAGAAGAGAAATAATAAAAACAAACAAAGGTCTGGAGGAAAAAGGCAAAAACGCTGTAATTGACAAAATATAATATTAACTCAACGAAAGAAAAAAATAAACAGAACTAGACTTGTTTAACTTAACTAACGCTAACAACATTAACAGTATCTGTTAAATGAATTTAACATTGTAAAATTAATGAATGTTAACATTGTAAAATTCTTAAGATAAAAAATGTCATGTTTTTTTTAACTGATCAAAATACATTCTTCCTTTTTCTGAACATTTTTTTTTAATTGGAGATCTTTGTATTTTGCCATTGCAATGGGCAGTGACCCAGTATAGGATCGAGAAGGAAAAACGAATTCTCTTTCAGTATACGGTGGTTCCCTACCAGTCACTTTTTTGTTAATAAAACCATTGTTCCATTGTAGGTGTCTCTGAAATAAATTAGTCTAGGATATTACTTTGAAATGTTTAATTCTCTTATTGTCTAGTTTTAAAAGGTGCTTTTATAGCATACATAGGTGTAAGAAAGGTATCCCAGCTACGCACCAAGTAGTTATCAACCACTTCTGCTTTATAATGCGTAGGTTTTTGACGAGGAACACTGCTTCCCAATCTTCTGGAGTTTCTGCTGCACTTTTTTGGTTAACGATAACAAAATCTTTATCCGTCTCCATGTAAAAGTGACCTCTTATAGGAAAGTTCACTAAAATAGTGTCAAATATGTTTATTTTATGGACTAAATAATGTAGAAACCGGAATACCGTCCAATTTTTATTTTGGCTTCCACAAGAATCACAGAAAATCACTAAGTTACGAACTTCAGGAGGCAGCTGGATTGTCACATAGTCATACAGAAATGAACAAATTTCATTGGCACCCTTTCGAGCTTCTGTCTCAGGGTACGAGTGCATAACAATGTCATTATCACTAAGTCGATGGATATTAAAGGAGTAGAAAGACAACTGCCTTTTATAATACACGTCGAAGCATCACAAATGCTGCAAGTGTCGGTTCTGGGATACCCAAAGGAGATATTAAAGCGTGTGTTGAATGTTTTTTCTATATACTTCATAGCACACATATTGGGATGTTTCTCAAGGAACATTTTGTACATATTTTAAATGTTAAGTTCCTGTGGATTTCTAGATTTTTTTAGGCTGTAGTGACTCATGTGCCCTTTGAATGATTTTATGTGATTTAAAATTAACTGCATAGTTTCTTCAGACATTTTATTTAGCATTGAGCCATGTTTACCTCTATTGTCCTTGGCGTTTGTGTCATGTTTTAGGGCTTTTTGTATTTTTTGTAATCTTCTGGTGGATATTCCATGAAGAGGAACAAAAGTTTTTTGACAAACATGAACGTCTTTTGCTGGTGATGTATGCCCCTCATCATTAGTTACCGCAAGGCGAATTCTGTAATAAAAAGAGCCATCTCTCGTCCCAATTCAGCGTAGAATTAAAATTACGTATAATTGTATTTCTTTATTTAACTGTTATATTTTCAAATCACTGGTAACGTTTGCAACGGCAGTTCTCGTCTGTTTCGTGAGTTTGCAGTGTTAGCACTGGTCCTGTTTGGTCACAGAACTATCAACTATCTGACAGCTGGCAAACTGTTCATCAACTGATGAATTTAAATGCCGGCGCCATATTTATATTAAAGAATATTTTGTATGACGGATTGTTCGGTTCGGCGCCAGGACTGTGACGAGACGTGACTGATGTGTCTGAATCGACCTTTAAGCTACATCACATATTCACTCAAAACTTTTTCGTTTTATTGTAGTTTTTGACCTTTCACTAAATACTAAGAAAACAAAATGCATGATGATCTCTAAGAAGGAACAGCAATTTGGACAAATCAGTGTAAACGGTCAACAAATAGAAAGAGTAAAAACATACACCTACCTTGGTACGAACGTCAATGAAAATTGGGACCATTCCATAGAAATCAAATGTAGAATAGAGAAAGCAAGATCTGCATTTCAAAAAATGGCTAAGTTATTTAAATGTCATGATTTATCAATGCCCATAAAAATCAGGTTACTACGATGTTACATCTTTCCTATACTGTTGTATGGAGTTAAGTCATGGACTCTCACAGACGCCACCTGCAAGAAAATTGAGGCTTTTGAAATATGGCTTTATCGTCGCATCCTGAAGATGTCGTATACCGACCACGTTACTAATGAGGGTGTTCTGTTGAGAATGAAAAAAGAAAAATAGCTGTTAACCACAATAAAAACAGCCAAAATCGAATACCTCGGTCACATCATGAGCAACAGCGAAAGATATGGACTGCTGCATCTAATATTGCAGGGAAAAGTAGAAGGAAAACGGGGACCAGGAAGGCGAAGGAATTCCTGGCTGAAAAATCTACGAACGTGGTTCAACACAACAACCACAAATCTTTTTAGAGCAGCAGTGTGCAAAGTGCAGATTGCCATGATGGTCGCCAACATCCGAACCGGATAGGCACGACAAGAAGAAGATTACGTGTATCCAAGGATTGAAAATGTATTATCAAAAAATCAATAAAAATTGACTTACAGCGATTTTTGCCTGTGATCTTGATGTATTATATATGTCACCTGAGATTTTTCAAATTTATAATTTTTTGATAGCTATCTAAGCATTTTTTATGCAATTATTTGGGTTTAGAATCTGATTTATATTATAAAAAGGAAATTAAGTTAGTTTACGTAATGTATTACAATTCACGCTCATTTGTGTTAATAGTAACATATTTTAGGTTGATTCTAATATAATATACTTATTTTGGATTACCGAATAATCCTTTAAGGGTTTAGACGTCCTTCATAAATAGAGGTCGCATGCTACATATATTTGGGACAAATCATAAAATTTGCTAAAGAAAAGAAGTCTGTGAGAGTAAAACGCCGAATTTGCAATACCTTAAAATAAAACTATTTGATTAATGTTTTACCAGTAATGATATCCATATGTCAAACATAGATAATAGTAAAGTCAAACACGGACAAATTAACAGGGACCCAGAGAGCAATGAAAAGTCGAATGTTGGGAATAGCATTTAAACACAGAAAACCTAAAGAGGATGGAATTTAACCAAGGTAAAAGATGTCATAGAAAAAGTAATAGACATAAAGTAGAAATATACACGCCATAAAATCAGATAGAAAGACGGTAGATGGACTAAATAAGTGGTGTACGGGAATCAAAGTGACCCAACGGACAACCACAAATGAAGTGGACAAATGTTTTAAAGAGATATACTGGTCCGAGATGGATAAAAATCGCAGTGGTCAGAGAAAAATGGATGGATAGATAGATAGATTCAATAAGGTAGCTTTTAGCCTATTCAACTACGACCTTTTCAGATCTATTATGATCCTCTAGCATTCTCTTGCCTGACCCTTTTTAAAAGGTCCAATAACTTCGAAACTGATCCTTTCATGTTGCTCTTTGTCGGTGGCTTTTCTTAGACTAATGCAAAGAACCGTAGATTTGCCAGGCTCTAAAACTCACATAAAATGTGCTCTGCTCTTTCGTCTCTAGGTGAAAGAATATGCTTTAACTGCCTATTCAGCTTACAATCCCTGTTAGCAGACATACTACGGTTTTAGCTATTTTCCCGAATTTGCTTATTAGGTCGAATGTGGCGAATGTTCTCTAATAAACTGTTAGTTTTGACTGTCTTTTCCCTGGTAAATGTCTCTACAATTCTAGAAATTTGTGAGCTACCTATTTCTTTGTAGCCGTTCTTTTTACTGCCTTTAAAACATCATAGAAGGGTTTCAGTCCATTGAGTGACATTGATAAGCTTTGTTTTGGGTATTTTATTTTCTGTTTTATTACCCTTATGACCCTCTTGTCCCAATATCTAGGCTACTGTAAACTTCTACTATATTCTTGTTGTGTTTGTTTAGGGAATCTACACAATCTCATACTATATGTGCATACAGAACATAGTGCCTTTCTCTATGGTTTTCAGTATGTGAGTATTAATTGTAAGTTTTTGATCAAAATATACCATTGTTTAATAATTTTATTTCTTTGGCAAATGAAATTTCTGCTTCTTCCAGTACCGGTAGTGTTATACCTTGTAATGCTGATTTTTTTGTAAAGTTGACAATTTGTATTTTTTGAACGTTGACTACTATCAGTCTTTCTTATATTTAGAGCTGCTTGCATTCTCCCAGATATTAAATAAATTTTGGTGGTTAATGCCAAATATTTAAGAAGTGGCTGAATTAAAATTTAATCGAGAAAGTCTTTGGGATTCAGCCAAGCCAAAAAGGTCATTATTAACCCATACAGGACAGTAATTAAGCCAAATAACGCATCTACACAAATCAAACCAGTTTTTGATGCTTTAGCTAAAGAAAAAGACAAACCTTCTTTAAAACAGTGCCTTAAAAAGCGGGTTAACTTAAATTAAATCGATTCCTGCTTCTAGTGGGTAAAGTCTGTATTTTTATCTCTATATTTTTTGGCCACCTATTTTCAGACTATATATAAATGGCTAATACATGAATCACTTGAGATATGAGGACGACATTGTATTAATAACAGATAAAAGGGAAGAATTACAAAATATGATGTATGAATTAAATAGCGAATCAACATGAATAGGTCTACAAATTAATTATAATAAAACGAAAATTATGACCAATCAACCAGAATTAATAATTGCAATTGCACAAATAACTATAGAACAAGTAAAAGAATATGTATATTTGGGACAACTAGTTAAATGAAATAAATAAAATCAGACCGACCGAAAAAATAAAGAGAAGGATACGGTTGGCTTGGGTATCCTTTGGAAAATTTTCCTATATACTAAGAAATAGAAAATACCCCAATATTTAAAAACAAGAGTCTTCAACCAATGTATACTTCCTGTTCTCACCTACGGTTTTCAAACTTAGACGTTTACAAAGGAAAATATGGAAAAAATAGCAAAAACCCAAAGAGCCATGGAAAGACAAATGCTGGCTATCAGGCTATCAGACAAGAACAAAAACACTTGGATCCGCAACAAAACAAAAGTGGAATGTATCAACGCAGATAGCAAAACTTCGTCAACAAAGTTAGCTGGACATAACATAAGACAGAAAGACGACAAATGGAATAAGATGATTATACACTGGATACCATATAGTTACAAACGAAAAAGAGGAAGGCCACAAATGAGATGGTCAGATAACTTGAAGAATCGCGCAGGCCCGAAGTGGACACAAACTGCCTACAATAGAGAGACGTGGAAGAAGGAAGCGGAGGCCTATATCCAAAATTGGACAAAAAGGGCTGTATAGATAGAGAAAGATTTAGAATGAAGAAACAAATTACAGCTTTTTCATAAATCCAAACGATTGATGGGTATTGATACTGATAACGTTGAGTCGATGTTTATTAAATGTGGTAGAAATTTACTAAATTCGACTTACTGCTTATATGGGCTTAATGAAGATTTTAATGCTTGTGATATCATTTTTTAGGAACATATCCTAAATTATCCCGACCCCGAGAAAAAAATTCTACAAAAAAGTCATGAGGATTGGTTTTTTCTAGCTACAGAATATTATCTGGGTGAAATCCAAAAAATTGAATTGTGGTTTGATTCGATTGGATACAGGCCCTCATGGTAAGTTATTGCAACAAACTTAGTATTCTAACAAAAATTAAAAAGTGCTTTTTACCACATAACGTTAAACAACGTTAAACAAAGTTATACTCCTCACAACATACCGTTCTGACGGTATGTTGTGAGGAGTATAACTTTGTTTACCTTTTGAAAGTAGTTACAAGCACAATTTTTCTTTGGAATATATTGTACTTATTCTTTCTGGTACAGTTATGTTCTTATTATATAAATAATGAGTATTTACTATGCTTGTTTCAGTAAGTAATTCAACTGCCACCTTTCTGTACCATTTAATGTTCCGTCTAATAGAGGTAGACTAAGATGACAATTGGTCGGATACATCAATGAAACTTTTTGCATCATTATAAGCGACAATAGCTTCCGGCATCTTTTTGTCGTCAATTCTACCTGGAACATCAATAAAATTCAGTTTATGTTTGGTGGTAATCATCAGAACATCGCGCTTATCTTTCCATTTAAAAATGATAATGTCCTTTCTCTCTCTTCCTACAATTTTACCCTTCTTCAGTTTGCTTACCAGTACTTCTTTAGGAATAGCTTTCCGATTTTTTCGTAGTGTTCCTACTAGGTGCGTTTGTCTGCTTTGTAACTTTTCAGCTTGCTCTACGCTGGTGTGCCAGTTTTTAGTGTAAAATGTCATTCCTTTATCGAGACATTTGTTCATAAATTTATGTTTCTTTCCTTACACATATTGGCAAAATGTTAAACGCTCGCGAAAGGGTACGATCGTTTCATCTATGCAGATATTTTCATCTGGTATCTGGTTACTAAATTTGGAATTTAGCAAAGTTACCAGGGACTGAACTTTGTACAGTCTGTCTTCTGCTTGACATAAATCCTTAATTATTTGCGAAGTGGCACATACACAACAAAATTTCAAATCTATTTCGAGACATATATCCTGCAGCTTTTGACCAGTATAAATCCGAATTTCTCCAATAATAAGCCAGTTTAGGTTTATAGTCCAGACTCATCCTAATCAGTACCCCCAAAAAGCAATACATTTCAGTCACGTTTGTGTCTTTTTATTTATTCAGTCTTAAAAATGGACCGATGCTTTCTTTAACGTTATTCACAATCACCTGATTTGCGTATATGTTGGTTTGTTCGAAAATAATGCTGACAATTTCTTCGTCTACAAAAAAACTGTAGGCGAATTCTTCTTCATTTTTCATGTTTAGGACTTCTTCTGTTAATTCTATATTTTCTTCAAAATTAAAATTTCTCATATCGCCAAATACTAGTCCCCAATCAGCCACTGTATTTTCTTCATTCTCTGAAGAATCTTGATTATCTGACTGAAACAAAAAAAAAACAAAATGTATAAATTTGCATTCAAATGTAGTCATACATAGCATCGTATGCCATTCGCACATAAACATGACCTTATGGCCCTTGTAATTTTCTACCCTCTCTCGCAAGCTCATTGGGATATAATAAAATAATTACAAAATGATATATGTACTTATAACATAAATAACTGTTATTTCATTGGCAAGTGAAATCTAAAAATGATGGCATATTTATTTAAACTTACCTTTAGTCGTTATCCGAGGTCTTTTAGTTGGTATGTCACTGCTGTTCCGTGAACTCTCTGTTTCGTAGTCAGGATCTTGTTTAGACTCATTCTCAAATGGATATTACTCATATCTGATATTTAATCCCATAATGCATGAAGCCGGGCCTGTTCTCTCTCATATGATGACATTTTATACACATATACAAGAAAAAGTACCTTGGAAAAAAGGAATAAATGAACTGTACGATGCTACGTTTAGAGTTGAACTAACAAATACAAGTCAACGTCACGCTACCGTTTTAGACAAGATACGACAAGTCTAGACCGTGTATCCGTACTTATACACGCGGTGTAGAATAAAAAAATGCTTTTCCAGGCCACGTGTATATTTTTCGTACACCAGTCAAACTACTAAAAATATAATTAAATTATTTAAGCAATGTATCTAAGGTATGTTGATAAACAATTTTAAATACATTTTCATAAAAAAAATTAATGTGGCGCACAAATGGTGAATTTGGTGTGGCAGTCAAAGTGTTAATTGAGTTTAAATTTATGCTTTAACTTTAATAAAAAAGCGTGTTATATTATCCTATTTGATCTATATCAGGGGTGTCCAACTTGCAATGCCTCAAGGACCAAAACTAAAACCTTTGATGTTGTCGCGGGCCATATAATAATTTTGTTACAAGTAATAACAAAATAAAGTGAGGTATAAAAATAATTAAAACAAAAAAGAGTATTATTTCTTTTATTGCTCAACAACTACATTTTTTTATAAACGGAAAATTTATTGATAACACTTTTCAATAATCAAGACAAACATTGCAAAAGCAACGAAAAAGATGTATCCAATTAGTATGAGGAGTGTGGTCGATCGGCTTCATCCACCAATGAAGAAATGTCCACCTCCAGTTCAGTTGTACACACTCTCATAAGATGACGTAAGGAAGAATCGGTAAGGTTGCTTCTGTTTTTATTTTTTATGTATTTCATGGAGAAAAAAGCACTTTCACATGTATATGTGCTTACGAACATTGACGTCATTTTCAGTCCAAAATCTCGCAGGTTTGGGAATTTCTCCTTTGACAGTAATTTGAAAAATTCAGGTCCCTTTTCTTGTCTGGCGATTAGGAACATGTCTGCTTGAAGATCACATAACTCAAGCTCTAAGTTGGGTGGTTGATTATCAATGGTTGCTCCAAGAGGGTTATTATAATGTAGTATACTGCTTTTGAGACTTTTAATTTCTTCAAATCTTGTATTGAATTCATCAATAACTTATTCAATTTGTGAAATGCAGGATGAAAACTCAATATTTTCCTCACCGTTGAATTCTTCTGCTATTTGCAGACAGCTAGGGAAGTGTGTCAGGTTGTTCTTTTCCAAAGCACGTTTAAACACGTTCAGCTTATTCCGGAACCCGTTTATCATTCCGATCAAATCTGAAACCGTCTGGTTTCTTCCTTGAAGACTCAAGTTTAACATGTTAAGATGATTAGTCAGATCTGTTATAAAAGCTAACTGTCTTAAGAATTCTGGATCCTTAAACTTCTCTTCCAGTTCAGTTGTGTCAGATGAAACGTATTTGTTGAGGAATGCAGGGATTTCCTTTCTTATGGCAAAAAATCGTTCCATGCACTTTCCTGCACTCAGCCACTTTATATGGTTGTATATTAGCAAGTCTCCATACTCAGCCTCTATTTCCATTAAAAACTGCTGAAGTTGCCTGTGTAAAAGAGATCGATTTCCACCTGTAATCAAATTTATAATCTTAATTACGGTTTGGAAAACTTGATGTTCCTTGACTGATTTTCCACATAAAGCTGTCTGATGTATAATACAATGAATTGTTGGGCAAGTGACACCATTCTCTCGAAGCAGACCCACTAATCCAATTTTTTTACCTGTCATTGATGGGGCCCGTCTGTTGCTATGGCTGAACATTTATCAAAGCCTCCAATTCTGTCAACTGTTTTCTTCACAGCCTCATATCTCCTCATGTCTTTTCCTTTTGTTGTTCCATAAAGAGGACAAATATCAAATAACTCCTCTTTACTGGTAAAATCATCAAAAGTAGTGCGGACAAATATTAACAGCTGACTAACATCGGTTTGATCAGTGCTTTTATCAAAACAAAGTGAGAAATATGAACTTTTCTTAACCAGGCTAAGCATAGATTTTTCTACTTGCTCACCCATAGCAACAATCCTTCTTTGTATGGTTTGATGTGAAAGTGACAATTATTCAAATTTCTCCGCCATTTTAGAATCACCGAAAACTTTGGCCATTTCAACAGCACATTTTTTTATCAAATTGCCATCAGTGAAAGGTTTTTTTGCCTTTGCCAGCTCAAACGGCACGGCATAAGATGCATGCAAAGAATGCGTTTGAGAGTGTAACATTTTACTGAACATACCAGTTTGCTGTTTAAGCTTTTTCTTCAAATCTACAACTAGGGCACGCCGACTTTCATTTGTGTACGTAGCATACTTATTTTCATGCACTGTTGTGTAATGTCTTCTCACATATTCTTATTATTATATTATATTCTTTAGGCACTGAAACGACATTCATGTACACTAAGCACTGCAACTTTCCATTATTGTTAGAAAACAAGTAATGACTCTCCCAACTTTCTTTGTAAATTCTGTTTTCACTATCAATTTTCCGTTTTACTGGTTTTACACTCATTATTGTATAAGAGGAATCAAGACAAAGAATTAATCAAGTTCACTGTTCAGTAGCAACGTAATAGATTAACCGACTAGTCTACGTGTCAGTAGACTGCGTGAACTTTGATGCGCAGTAATTAGTGCAGTCTCATAGTGGTGGAGGGCGATTGTGTTCGTTACACGTCCGCGAAGCGGCACGCGGTACAGTACTTGTGATGTAAAAACACTGCTAAACCATAAAATATAAAATAAATTAAAAAATATTTTTTCACAGTGGCAGCATTTAAGGAAAATATATGATTTTCGAAAATCTTACGTGGGTCACAACAAATAGCCTCCGTCGTCTATTCTATAAAAAAGTCTGTCTTCACCGTCGAAATTCTATCTAATTCTATCACTTTACTATTTCTATCGACGCAGAGATGACCTTCAAAAATTTACGGAGTTCTCGTCATCCAGTAAGCTTTTTTTTTTCCAGACAATTCTCTCTAATTATATAAGCCAGTAGGAATGAGCTCTAAAATTAGTATTGATGATTCTACGCATCAGTGCGAATTCTACTTAGCTATAATAATTAAGTGAGTTTTTGAATTAAATAAAGTTAGTTAAAGCACTTGGTGCTTTACTTTATAGGTTAAGCTGGCTTATCGACGTTTTTAGTTATAATAAAAATAGATCTTCTGTTGTTTAGTTTTCAGGTTTTATGAGGATCAAATAAAAATTCTACTTATAATTTTTCTCTTCTGTAATTAGAAAACACTTGTACTAATTTCACTCTTAGTGTAACATACATCTCTTATACAAACTTGTATTTAAATTTTTGGTATAAGCCAACAAAAAACAAGTTTTATTTGGAGCTGAAATTTATTGACACTTTACTAATGAGTACCTTTTTTCGAATCTCAGTGTAGCTTCTCTCTAACTAATATTATGGTTATTTTGAGGATGTATTTTATTTTAAATTTATAAATCTGTATGTTTTTTTAATTAATGTTCTATGGTTTTTATAATTAATTAAAATTATTAATAAATTATTTTAGGTTTTGTGAAGAGATTGAAGTTATAGATTTACAACAAGACCAATCCTGGTGGTTTCCAATATGTTTTAAATTTCAAATTAAAGATAAAGAACAACATATTTATTCTGGTGCTCCAATTGACCCGAAACATGTAACCAAACGAAGGCTGTTTTGGAAAGAGCTGTCTGTTAGCTTAAGTGGTCCGCATTTTTGGAATATTTTGTAAGGTTTTCTCTTAAAATCACTAATCAAGTTGTTCAATTGTTTAAACATGGTAGAATTTTATACCATTTTTTAAAATCCAATTGTTATTGCAATTTGTTTCATTCTTAAGCTTCGTCCTCACTGTGCCGCGGTTGGCTGTTGACAAAGCCAATACAATGTAGACGTGACCGTTGGCATGTGCCGCCAAGCCAATGGTTTACCAACCGTTCGCTTCACGCGGTACGCACGTGGTTCAGTTGGGGATGAGACAGCACTGTATGCAGTCATGGAGTGGACCAACGCAAAAGTATGTGAACTTATTGAGCTTTGCCGTGATCGTCCTGTTCCGTGGGACTGTCGTTTAAAAGTATACAAAGTTAAAAATAAGAAACAAGATACTCTACAAGAAATCGCAGATACTTTTGGTATTGCTAAAGAAGTTGTGGAAAGGAAAATCATTTTTTACGTGACGTAGAGAGGGAGGGAGATTCAAGTAAATCTGGTGCCGGAAATTCTGTGTGCAAGAGTAAATGGTTCTGCTTCAACAACATGCTATTATTCAAGGATCGAAATACACCTAAAGAAATGACTGACACAATCACGCCGGTAAATATATATTAACAATGTTCATAGAATGATTAGTAATTATATTTTATATTGATGTACAACACACATGAAATAGTTTAGGGCTTATTATTTATCGTGTTGGAAGGATACTATTTCTGCCGGGGAAGTAAAGAAGTCTGCAAATGCATTTCTTACGACTTGTGCCTCAGCAGCGCTTCTTCTTGAAGTTCAAGGTATGTTGACCAAAGCTTGATTTGAAGGGGATTGTCTCCAAGTTCCTGGATTGATCTCACCTGTGGTTGAGCACTTAGAGTCGAATGTTCCGGGAGGAGTGTACACTGATTTGGAGTTACTTTTCCTTTAAGTAGTTATGCAGATAAAGTACTGCCAACAGAACCATCTTAGCCCGCTCTGTTTTTAATAGCATAGGTCTTTGTAGTATACGGTACACAGAGTATATTATGCCAAACGCATTCTCTGACACTCTACGCGCTCTACTTAACCGAGAGTTAAACACTCTTTCCTTGAAATTCTTATTTTAAACACCTTGGAATGGTTTCATAATGTTTTTTGACAAAGGGAAAGCATCATCTATCACTAAAACATACGGAGTTTCATCTATTCTTCCAGGAAGAGCAATAGGAGAAGGAAGATGCATTGTGTTCTTCTAAAGGCAATCTTTGAATGTTGTTTGACTAAACACACCTCCGTCTGATATTCTTTCTTGACAGCCAACATTTGCGTAGGTAAAGTTGTAGTGAGCATCTACCACCGCAAATAGAACTATACTGAAAAACCCCTTGTAGTTGAAATATTCTGTGCCACTATGGGTAGGTGCTTGCAACATAATATGCTTTACATCGAAGGCCCCCACACAGTTTGGGAAATTTCACTTATTATTGAACTCTTTTAAAATAGCTTTCCATTCTGCTTCATTTTGTGGTATCTGAAACAAAATTATAATGATATAGCAATATTCAATCATTAATCTTTTCCTTTTTTAGGACGAGCATTCAAACGAAGATGAAGATGCTGCAGACGAAACCCAGATTGTCGACCAGGACCAAGTTGCTGGACCAAGTAAAGACACACCTCGAAGAGGTGACAACGGAAATAAAAGTTTGCCAAAGGAACCGTCTGTTCGGCCAGCGGAGGCCCACAAAAGAAACAAAAGACATCAGCTATAAAAGAAGCTCTGTCTATTATGAGAGCTATCCAAGGACGGTATACATCAAGTATGGATCAGTTTAAATCTTTTGGAGAGCTAGTAGGACTGCATATTAAAGACCTCCCATCGTCAAATGCACAGAAAATTGTGAAACAACTTATTAGCAATATTCTTTTTGAAGCTGAAATGGGCAAGTACGACTATGGTAACCCATTGAGCGGAAGTTACTCACAGCCTTTCTATCCATTACCGAACAACGTACACCATCAGATTCCTGCTCCGATGCCACCAGCTTGTCCCAATCCAAACCCATATTTTGAGCAGTCGTCTTTTCAGGGACACACACAAGCAACCTGTCCTCAGTCAGTCATGAGTCTCACGTCTTCAACCCATACGGTAACGGACAATGACTCTCTTGACACTATGTTGATGCAACTGTAGTTCTTACCTCATCTTTTCAAAATTCAAATTTGAGTTTGACTTCTCTTCATTTTGTGTTAGAATAAACACATTTTAACTGAGTATATGTTTCATTTATAGAGATTGTTTTGTTTACTTGAGACACATATCGACCAATAAAGGTTTTGTATATGTCATAGACTAATTTTCTTACCTTGATGTAATCCTGTAAAATGCTGACAATAGCCTCACAAACAACAATAGGGATGATGGCTGATATTATTTGCTTTGAAATCTTGAACGTAATTCATTTAACAGATTTAACGAGTGGTAAGAATCTCCCGTTGCTAAAAACCGCAGAGTAACTGCAAGGCGTTTATGTGGAAGAATAGCACTTCTGAAGCATGTGTCTCGTTTTTGGATGATATGAGCTATCTTATTTAGAAGACCTTTAAAGTCACTACTTTTCATTCGTAAAAAGTTTTTGAACCCACATCCAGATCTGTACTCGAGATTTAATTCGCCTGCATCATCCAATAGCAAATCCTTCAATAACTCACTCGTATTTTCTGCTAATTTGAAGGCCTGGACGCACCCAAAACTGTCATTTGCGCCATTCACGCACTTTTTCGCTGTTTTCAATGATAATTTCAAACGCACTTAAAACAACTAGTAGATTCTCCTCGGCAGACATTTTGCGACTGAATGCCAACTCAGGTGTAGACGGCAAGCCAAAATTGGCTTTGCCAACAGCCAATCGCGACACAGTGAGGACGAAGCTTTAGAGTAGGAAATTTTACACGTCATTTGACGTGTAAAATTCCCTACTCTAAGGTTTCATTATAAATAGTGAGCAATATGAATGATCGTTTTCTAAACTCAAGGGGAAGCTGCCCAAAGGCGAGCATCTAAATAAAAAATATATTAATATACTTTATCTAGGAGATAAAATTACATTCATACAGAGAATAGACAAAATTTGATACAAAAAAATAACATAGGCGGCAAATGTTGGTAACATTATTATTATAAAAATATACAAAAAAGTTTTAAAAAAAACCTCAAATTAAAAACTGAATACTTTGCAGCGCCATGACACTACACTCTCCAGGTTTTTTAAAGCTTCAAAGGGTCAGGTATTTTCAATCTTTCTCCACGTGAAATGTTAACATCCTCATAGTAGGCGTATTTTAATGATAAGATATTTTGGTCTTATTTTTAAACGTAAACTAGAAATTTCTTGGGTAAAAGTTGGTATCTGTTGATCTTAGTGTAAGATTTTATTCGTAAAATATTTAGAAGGTTCAGTCACAAATTACGCCCTTAATTTGTAATCTCACATTATTTTTAACTTCTTAATTTTTTATTGCTTCACCGTGTATAAGTAAGTAATTGTAAAACTATATTGAGTAATATTTTAATGGTTAAAGTACATTCACCTGATAATAAATTGTCGAACAATATATTTTCCAATTGAACTTCCTAAGTGTTGCAATTACGGCCTAGATTAAATTGTATTGTAAGCTCATAGTAAGTTTGTTAGTATGATAGAAGCAGTAATCTCTGTGCTGAGGTATACATAATTTGTGAGATTATAAATTGGGGATTTGAGCTCATATGAGCGCAGTCTATTATACATAGTTACGTAACTAACATCATATAGTGTAATTAGTAGTAGCTGTCAATAAAACCAACATTTTTCTCTACAACTTTAACTTTTATTATATTTATTATCGTCGATCGACAAGAATCGGATAAAGTGGCAATATAAAACCATTCGAACCTCATAACTACGTTCGAATCTATCCAAAGAACATTGCAGATCTGACGCTAAAAATTTGAGTGAAATTGTTATTATTATTATTATTATTATTTTGTTTATTATCCACATAGTTGTATTGATTTTGATATACGCTTATAAGTATTATATTTGTAACTCAATTTTTGTATTAATACAATACTTTTAGACCTGTGTACCACGGTAAAAATATGATATAAATTCCGATCTATGCCTTCTTCTTTTTAGAGTGCCGTCTCCCTACGGAGGTTGGCAATCATAATGGCTATTTCTATTTTAGAACTTGCTGCTCTAAACAAATCAATCGATCTGCATTGATACCAAACACATAGATTCTCTAACCATGGGTTCTGCCTTTGGCCAACAGATCTTCTTTCTTGAATTTATATCGCCGAAAATGCATTAGTGGAAATAATAAAAAAGGGAAAGTTCAACGTTTCCAAACTTATTGGTTTTATTTGACCTGTTGTCTTTTTAGCATTTAAACAATGTTCTAAGATAATTGGCGAATTGATTTAAGTGGCAGCTTACTGTTTTTTTGGAATATGCCACAATTTTACTTTACAATAAATTTAACTTAACATTTTGATTTCCACGTCGGAAATCGTTTTATATAAATAAATAATATTATTGCTTCGTATTTTAAGTACGATTTCCAAATTAGAATCTAAACGTCAAAATAAGCTTATTTTAAAGTCTCATGGTGCAATATTCCTAATAAAAATAATAAACTGCATTATAAGACCACAATAAAAAAGCTTCATACAAAATGATTTGGCAACGTCGCATGTCGCGTCGTTAAAGTAAGAACACGTTGATTTTAATATTGTGGTAACGAGTAGAGGTGGCTAGTTGACGTTTTTATGGTTAACGCAACTTAATCGTTTTTCGTAAACAAGTAACTAGTTGATTGTTTAACAGTAATTTCAAATAAGCGAGTACATAAATAAACATATTTTCTATTATCGTTTATGTGTATATGTATTTACTTACTTTATTATCTTTACGTCTAAAATCACGATTTTTTTGTAAATATTCTCTCCACCATATCACTAGTTCGTCTCTCTCGATTAACAAACTTTTCCG